TCTCATCTGGTCGCGGTTGGCTTCATAATAATGGTGATAGAGAGATTTGTTGAGAGATGAAGACTATACAGACGGCGAAAGCGAACGGGAGCCCTCATGGAAGTAGGGACGAAGGTGTTACCCAATCTCGACTCTGCAGACTCTAAAGTGAGAGCTGGAGGTTCGTTGGGGACACCACTGACATAACAACAACAAGGTGTTTTAGTCCGCCTTCTGCTCGTCATCTCCCAAAATTAAAGTCTGGGTAGTCTGGACACCTTTTTTTTAAATATTTTAAATGGTATTCAGCTATCTAGCTTTGACACATAACCAGTGCTATGTATACATTTAGGATGACTCTTTTGTCGTTAGAGACAGTCATACTTTGGATTCCATTTGCAAATAGCACTATGAGGTATGTCTGCTTAAACACACATTGGACTCTCCTCCGTGAGTACCCAGCAAAGGAAATTTCAAAACATTTAATTGCTCACGCGTATCTTCGTCATTCATGAAAGCTTGCACTGCGAGAAATGTGATTGTGTTTTGCCAGATACAAACCGGCGATCTCCTGTCTCGAGTGGGATTTGTATCCTAGCTACCCAGACCTTACTTAGGAGACCGACCCAGATGATGTACCATCGCACCATCCAAACATGGCGATATTTACAGTGTCGCCTGCACTCTCGAAATTGAAGCCTTGGCGCGCACACAAAGCTCAATTTGTAAGACTCCTTGCTAAAGTTCAAAATTCCACGCCCGTCGAGGTAATATTTATATTCCGCATCGTCTTATCAACTTGTCCTGAATCCTCTCACGCCAATCCCTTAGAACTGTCTCCCAGATTTGTGCGCCACGCTTTGTGTCCTCCGTCGGATATAAATATCGGCGTGGGCGTGTATTTGGTGACCGGCTGAGACCAGAGAAAGTCGACTAAAGGTGTGATCATTGGAATAAGGATGTACTAGGTCGTACTTGTAAACTTGATGAGTTTTCTGAGAACTAACTTGTTAGGTGAGACAGTTTGATTTCGTATAAAGTCTTGGATCATAGCCTCGTGGGCCAGCTTCGGTATTGCGAAATTTGACTCAAAATGACTCTGGGAGAGTATTTCACTTCCAGTTTCGTATAGGGCACCACTGACAGGTGTTCAGCCTTCATCCTCCTAATTTAGACTGGGCTTACCGGTACGTGAAAAGCTCATGTGCTGTGCGCGGGAACCACTTTAAATATTCTCCCAGAGCCGAAAGTCGGTCACGAAAGAGGGTGGGATGAATTTAATTGATGGATTTTCGGCTTGAAGGAGTTGCACTTGATATTTTAGTCGAAACATTATTCGGTAGACATTTCACAACCGCAAGTCTAACGAAAATCCATCACCACCAACTTACGATTCACGAATGGGCACAGGTCTATCTGGGGGTCGTATTCAAACAAATAACATCTCTCAAACTCCTCATATATTTGCAACGAAGCGTTTCCCAGTCGATCCTACACCTACACCTACAACCCATCTCCACACTCGTCACATCACCTAGCTACACATGCCCTGATGAGGAAAGTCATGATGGAATCAGGACGTGTACAGCGGAAGAAGAAAAAGGAACACACACCGAGGGGATTATACAAATCACCAATGATGACAACAACCCAACGTTACGATATGAAGGTACAAGGCTAGAGCAACGATGAGAGCTGGGACTACATCTCTATTTTGTTGTCAATGAGGGTGTCAAGGGCTCGGGCGCGTGGTGGCCGAGGCTGAGGAAGAATTCGCGCCTCGGCGCGCCAAAAGGGGGTTTGAATTTGAATTTGATTTCATTATCCTGATTTGGCGCCCTATGGGCCCATGCAGGTGTCTACAGTCTATAATATTTACCCGGGAGGAAACCTTTATGGTGAAAACCTCCCACACCTTTCTATTTGTTGTCTATAGTCCTCACATATTTTCTTCAGGAAGCGCATTTACACTATAGTGCCATCCATGTAAACTAACCAGATCATCTCTATCCTCCCCCAGCATTATTTGACCTTTTCCTTTCCCTCAGCAGTATTTCGACCGCTTTTGTCATCTGGAATTGCTCTATCCAACCATGGTTTAGGATCCACTGTGTTATCCTTTTTATATCTCCAGGATTATTTAACATCGCTTCATAGGATCGATCTTTGGCTTGTCTCCAGATCTCAGCTCTACCATTTGACCATTGGGGGCAGGACATAATCATGTGCTTTGGGTTCTGTGATTGGTAGCCGCATGGACAACCTGGACTTAATACTCCGGGTACGTTTCTTCTGTGTAAATACGAGTTAAGCCCCATGTGCTCACTTCGTATTTGCATTGCCAAACTGCTTTGGGCCCTTGTAAGGTTACGGTGTAGGAAGAATGGTGAGCCTTGAAAACTCAGTTTTTGCCGTCCAGACTCTCTACTTTGGTAAAATGTGGCTGCTCTCCAAGTTTCGGAATCTGCAGTTGCTAACCGCCGAGGCTTTTGAGTTTGTGTCTGCTTGGCCCAGGATTTCGCCCACTCTTGGTATGCCATAATTTTCACTATCTCTGTATGTGTCTTCTTGACAAAAAGGGGGTTAATATTATTATTATTAATTCATTTTATTGTCCTGTCTGAGTCTATGACAATGTCGGACATGCAGGTCCTCTCTGCCTACGGGCCAAGGATACCTATACCAGTAGTATATCCCCTCCTATGCCTCCCATACAGCTCCCCTCAAACAGTACCACCCCTCACAAGTCGTCATTCGATCATACAATTAGAGGAGCCCTTTGCCCTTAATTATATCCCCTCTCCAGCCAACGAACTGATAGCCATTTGCGGGTGTATGGCAGCCGAGAGTAATCGTAAAAACCACTGGGTACAGAACTCTTCTAATATCGACATTAGGAATAAATCCGAAGACATAGTGACCCTTCCGAAGCGTTCGAAGAGGCCGGCCAGCTGGGCGTTGCAGACTTGTGGGTACCTCGGAGAATTCACACTCTGTCTTTCTAGCCTCCTTCCAACTCCTTCCCGAAGGTCGTGCTGAGATGTCAGAAAAGTCTTGACGGAGAGTGATTGCTGTATAGTAACTTAGCCCGACTTCTTTTGTACCGTCCAGGGCGCTGGGGAGTGTCGTTGCCTCATCGACAAAAGGAGCCCTCCTGGCTAATTAGCCGAAATCTTAGTCTTGGCGCCCACACAAAACCCAAAATCGAAAACTCCTCGAAAATATCGGTCCAAGCAAGCTCTTCAAAGACATATTCCCCCTCTCGCTCCATATCTCAGCCGCCTGTCCTTCATCAAGATGTATAACCCCATTAGAGCAACAGTCCCCCATAAACCAAGACCCCAACTTTGTATATTATGACTTAATTTCCTCCTTGCGGGTATACGTAGCTACGTAAATATGTAGTGAGTGATGGCTGGAGATTAATGGGGCAAGCTCCTGTATGCAATTGGAGCAACTTTTTTATTGGTCGGCGAGGCGAGATGATAAGTGATTAGATCGAGGTTGAGGACTCGGAAGATAATGGTGACTGCTGCATGGTTGAGAAGTCGTCAAATGGAGATATGCATGTGTTTGCTTTCGACTTAGATTCGGTCGCGATTCTTCTTGACTATCCCAGATATGCAGAGCATACTGAGAGATTACACCGCCACTACTGGATGTGAAGAATTCGTCTTTGCCGGCGGGGAGTTGATTTGTGGTGCGCTAAAGTAGAAGTACTCGCGTGAGAAAGATAACTCCGACGTTGATAAGAGGTCATCGATTTTAGATATGCTTGGGGTTTATACCGACTTTGATTCGGATGCAATTCCTCTTGGCTATCCCAGATATGTAAAGTAGACTGAAGAAATACACCGGCTTTACTAGAAGATGCAGTGTTCCACTTTGCCTGCACAGGGGTAGCAAATGGTCCAGTTTGGATCCAGTCACTTTGCCAAACAGACTGTCATAATTGGCGTCGGTAATTGTAACTTTCCACGACTACAGCAAGGTGTAGGAAACCTTCTCTCACCAGATTTAATTTATTAATTTAACTCTGCACTTGATCTACTGTATATAAATATCAATAGATCTGGTGATAAAGTTTGAGATTATCAAATTCTCGCCTTCCTTTTCCAGAATAAAATCACAGAATACTATGATATCATCAATCTGGTAGTGTTATCTACAAACTAGTCACAAATCAGGTTCTTATATTCACATCATCATATTGGGCTCATCTAAAAATTTATTTCTTCACTCCCGGGAATCTCTACTCAATGCATTGTTCTCTCGGCTATAACAAGCACAATAAACAAGAAGATACTTCATGTTGCTCTTTACGTATAAAATCCGGAAAAAAAATCCGGAAAGTAAATCTGTTGAATCAACAGAGCCGTGTGCATTGTGTGCATGGCGTTGATTGTGAGACGAGATTACAATGCTAAGTACTTGAGTTGTCTGTGAAGGATAAAATGAGCGTCCGTAGCCGGAAAAGATAACTGACGGCAGTATCCGTGCAGGCACTCCACACGTCCTATGGATAGTTAGAAGGTCAAAATTATCCAAAGTGCCATCTCAGTATTAAATAACAAAATAAATATTTTGCTGAAAGCAAATAATTCACAAGAGCCCTACTCGCAGAACACGATTAACAGAATTGGGCACAAGCTCAGCCATAAATCTAAGCTAAGTTACATCATGATGACCAACGAATACCGTGTCACTAGGCCAAAGCATTTCCTGATAAAATAATTTATTCAGCTAAAATGTGTGTATTTCCCTCTATGTTTGTTCAGAAGTTGACCACAGCTCTAGTGGATTGTCTAAACCCAAGCTACTCCCGTTCCCCTTCCATCTTTCGACAACTTTAAACCAGTCGAGCCTATCCAATAATTTAAGTTGCCCCGCAAGTTCGTAAGCGTATTAAATTCAGCACTTTAGAATTAGCTTGTATTTTCCATATTCGTAATCAGATTTAGCACTGGCTATGACGAGCTTTTATGCTCTCCTTTGACATCTATGTCGATTATTAGATTCGTTTAAGCTTTTCCAGTCACGCCTGCATTAAAAACATCGGCTGATTTCTGTCCCTTCTCCTTTTCTAGACAATTGTTAGCTAAATATTTTGCGCCAAATTCCAGATTCGAGACTTACGAGCAGCTAATGAGGCCTTGTTGCAATTCTCAACAGTATCTGCGGAAGCCTTGCAACTATCCTGTAGCCTTTGGCAAATGAAGTCAGAGATGACTTTGATATTGAGAGCTGCACCATGATTGAAGTCTTTTTGGTTGGTGGCTTGGAAAGCGGGTTCCTGACGTCCTCCAAGGCCCACGCCGAATTCAACAGTGGGAGTACCGCAAGAGCCTAAGTCTCCACCGGCACCAGCATCAACGGCTTCAGCTTCGGCAGCTCCGGCATCTCCATCGGCTTTGGCATCTTTTCCTGATGCTTTGCCCTTGTCTGAAGCTTTGTCGCCTTTTCCAGATGCCTTTGCGTCGGTAGCATCAGCGGCTTCAGCTTCGGCAGCTCCGGCATCTCCATCAGCTTTGGCATCTTTTCCTGATGCTTTGCCCTTATCTGAAGCTTTGTCGCCTTTTCCAGATGCCTTTGCGTCTGCAGCATCGCTGGCATCGGCGGTTTTCGCAGCATCGGCATTGCCCTCAGCTTTGTCGCCTTTTCCAGACGCCTTCTCGTCTGCAGCATCGCCAGCATCAGCAGCCTCTGCCTCTTCCTCAGCTTTGGCAGATTTACCTGATGCTTTTTTTTCACAAACTTCAGCAGATTCAGCATCTGCGGCATTGCTCTCGGTCTTGGCGTCTTTTCCTGATGCTTTGCCCTTGTCTGAAGCTTTTTCACCTTTTCCAGATGCCTTTGCGTCGGTAGCATCAGCGGCTTCAGCTTCGGAAGCTCCGTCGGTTTTGTCGTCTTTACCAGATGCTTTGCCCTTGTCTGATGCCTTGTCTTTGGTTGCACTTGCGCCTGCCTTGGCTCCTGTCATAGTTTAGAAACACTCTACCCTCCTTGTAGTTTCACAAAAGACTCACCCTTTGAATCTGCTGTACTGGCTGCACTGCTAGCACCCTTTGCACCGCCTCCTTTGACAGCGGCGTCAATTTCTTCCGGGGTAGCTTCAACTTGGATCAACTTCTTGGTGAAGATGCATCCTTTCTTGTCGTCAAGATCGTCACACGTGTTTCCTGCGCCAGTTGTATCGCCAAGCTATATGACTTGTTAGTTTATTTCATTAAAGATTGACGAAACATCATATTTACCTTTCCGGGCGCAAAAGTCGCTGATGTAGCTGCAAGCTGAGGATCAGCTCCAATACTTTCGAGCTGCACTGCTAGATCAAGAACTGTCTTCTTGTTGGCTGCTGCTGCTCCTTCCCCAGCCGGATCCTGATGTTGACTGATGGCATCAATCTCTGGGTTGACGGCTTTGTCGGTACAGGTGTTGCTAGCTTTACCTACTGCTCCGGTATTCTTTTCAAGAGCGGCAAAAATCAAAGCGTTAGCCATGCCGTCGACATTTCCTGCCTTTTTCTCGTTGGTGAAGGCCTGATCCGCAATTGCTCGCTGAAGACAATCCAAGTTTTTGATGTTACCTGCTCCTTTGGCAGCTGCTGTATCGCCAAGTAGTCCAAACACCGAGTCCTGAATCTTATCTGGATTGTCAAGTTTCAAACTAACCGCGACTTGATCAAGTACTGCTTGATGAGAATGCTCCTGGGGAACCTCTCGCTTCTGATACGGCACAGCCGATGTTAGGCCAAAGTAGGCAAGGAGAATGGTTGCTGTAGAGTATTTCATGTTGTTTATAGAATAATCTTGATATTTAAGTTTATAAAGAGAGATGTAGAGTGAGAAAATCGAAGAAAAATGATATGCCTAGTCCGGCTAGTAATGAATAGCGAAGGAGGTAAAAAAAGATGGATGAACAAAGAGTAAAAAGAAAGATTGTTGATTGAACTGAAGATTTCCCTGGAGACAATAGGCATATCTTATAGTTGTGAGCAATTTACTTTTCAGGCCTACCAGCCCATCTCGTCGAAATCTTGTCCCTTACGCATCCCTCATGTGTCCCTCAAACGTCCCACATCGAAACGATTCATTCCCACGTATCCTAGCATCGATTCAAAAAGTCGCAATACCATTCATGACCGTGCAATAGATATTGTTGTATTATCGAAATCTGGCATGAAGTTTCCATTTCCTGACTCGAGGTTGTTCTTGGATCCACTTGTTTCGTGTTTATGGACTCGTGGTGACCCGGGAGCTAGCCTTGAACCATAAATCTCGATGTTCGAGGCCTCTGCTGGCAAGGTAATTCGTGAAGTAGAAGGGGAAACATCGGATAATATGGGACAATATGGGACAATATGGGACAAGATGTAAAACACTAGCGATATTTATTGACTTGACATGGTCTGTGACGCTACGGAGCCGATTATTCGTGGAGCCCGAAGACCCAGCTTGGCTCGACAAGGGTATCGATGGCTGTCACCTTAGGCGAAAAACGTTAACCGTTAGAACAGCGGGTAGGCCTGCTACTTTCTCAAGCAACCCTACGACCTGACATCACTTACCTTACTTCAAATAATGAGTGTCATGATGGATTAATAAATCTTTGATTAATCGCCGAAGTGCGCCTAGCAGCATGGAGGACTCAATATAAGTGGAGGCTCGGGTTATTATCGGTCAAGATATTTTTACCTTTCGTATTGTATTAGTATGTATGGCTATTAATTTTTTTGGCACCAAATTTCAATTGCTTATGCAGCTTTCTGGCTATGACACAATATCAAAGAAAAGTACATAATAGATGACTCAATATAAAGGAAGATCTCTTATGACTCGGATTCCATTTGCAAGTACCACTGCGAAGTTATGGCGGCTTTTCTTTGACTCCAAAGTCACCTCTCATCCATGAATACCCACCCAGGGAATCGTCTCAAAAATTCTGAGATATTCAGACATGCCTCCGTCATCCACTGAATTTTCTCTGCGCCCAATTTAGTCTAAGGCGTATCCTTCCCAAGTGGAGTAGGTGTCCAGGCTACTCGAACTTTACCAGACAACACCAACATAAGGCGGACCACGGCACCTTCCATCGTTGAATTGTGTTTATAGTGACAGTTACACTCTCGCAAGCGAAGTGTTGGCGCGCACACAAAGCTCAATTCATAAAGCTCCTTGCCGAAGTTCAGTATTTCACGCCCGTGAATATTGTATCCATTCTCTGCATCATCTTGTGAACTTGTTCTAATCCCTTTGTCGTCCATCCCAAAGATCTGTCCCCCAGATTCGTGGGCCACGCCTTTTTTTTCCGTCTAGTATGAATATCGGCGTGGTTGTGTATTTGGTGACCGGCTGAGGCCGGAGAAAGTCGACAAGAGGTGTGATCATTGAAATAAGGATGTACCAGGTCGTACCAGTAGAGTAGATGAGACCTAGGTGGGAGTTGATCTCGTTGGGAGTGAAAATATGACGTGGTGGAGTATTTTGAAACATTAGCTCGTGGACCAACTTCTTCGGTGCTGTGGAATTTGACTAAACTTGGTTATGAGAGAATATTTTACTCCCAGGTTCGTAGAGGACTCCGCGTACAGGTGTTAAGTCTTTGCCCCCCATATGGCTGTCTAGCTTTGATCCATTTTGAAGGGTGTTTGAACGTACCATACTAGGAATTAGAGCGACAATGCGTTCTTGTAGGCAATTAGACTCGTATGGGGCGATGTCGGACCTCGTCCCGCTCAAGTGACAAGGTGCGCTGAGTTATATCCAATGTGTTAAACACTTAACAATTCCATTGCGCTGCCCCTTTCAACTACAAGCATTCTCGCGCGCTTTTGTGCCCTCGTGCTTTCCGCATACACAGTGGTCTAGCCTCGTGCACTACACATCCGAGCCTTAGCCTTGTCATAGGATCAGTACTATGTGTACCTATTGGTTGACTTGAGACTTTTGATAAATTCATACTCCGGATCCCCATTGCGAGGACCAACGAGCCCTGATTGCTTACTAAACAAATTCCACCCTGTTTGGTGATTTCCCATCAAAGGGACCCGTTCCACTGTTGTTTCGCCACTTTGCGCGTCTATAAACTGTTTCGTTTGTCAGCTTGACATCCATGAAAGATGTGGTTGATGCAGATACGCGAGTGCCTTCTAGGGAGAGTGACGCAGAATTAACAATAGCCAGCAGTGAACGCTACCAATTCTGTGCTTCTAATATTTGCTAGGTCCCGGAAGTTTGTCACCATCTGATCATCATGACTTAATCAATTATCCTCTTCGAAATCTGATTGCGATAATTTTGAATATGTCTACAACATCAAGAGCATCGATTTACAGGGGAATGTTGCCGGATTGGGCTTCAAGATGATGGTAATTGTAAGGCATTTCTAAATCTTATTTTACGCTACCTATCATATTCATTTAATTTTATTATTGCATAATTTAACTTGTATTCTGCTTTCTAGCTATGACAAATGATCAGTCCTACACGCATATTTAAGATGACTATTACGAAATTAGAGACACTCATAATCTGTATTTCTTTCGCAAATACTAATACAAGGCATTTTCGCCCATAAAAACAGTTAACCCTCCTCCGTGATTATCCGCCCAACAAAAGGTTCAAAACCTTCGTCATCCATGCTCACCAGGACCGCGAGAATTGTGGTTGTGTTTTGCCGGATTCGAATCAGCGATTTCCTTAAAGGCAGGTCATGGATACTCATACATCGAGTAGTATTTCATCTTGTCTTACTCTTTCAAAGCTTCCACGCAGTAGTTTCAAGACTCACATGTACTACATCCATCATACTTCTCGCGGTGCCATTTGCTCTCAGTTATCTGCACTGCCCCATGGCTAGAACCAAGACAATGTGAGAGTTTCTGGTACCCGGTGAAAATCAGAGAAGCCCCTGGGTGTGAGATATCCCTGACACCGAAATGGGGAATAAATCTGAAGCTGTGGCCACATTTCCTAAGTGTTTAGAGAGGCATAACGTCGGGACGCTGTAGACTTAAGTCAACTCTTCCTATCATTCGTGTCTTGGAACAAGTCACATGCCGTGATTAAATACCAGAAATGTCTTGGATGGTAGAAAATACCCCAGACACATTGATTATACAAGTTCTGATGTCAAACACTGAAATCTACCGTTATTCTGTAGACCTCAGGGGTATAATTTTAGGTTTGTAGGCAGCACTGCTGACAGATGTAAAGTATGTGTCCCGCCGTAATTGATGAGTAAATTTTAACCAGAGGAAATAGTTAGACTCATTGACTCATCAAAAAGATAGAACATAGTTTATCAAGAGCACGATTTTTAAATCGTTCAAAGTCAATGACGATTTTTTAAAACATTCTCTAATTTTATGACTACCCGACAGCATCATTTCGGTATACACATTTGGGTCCCAGATTTGACTTGACCCAGTCACTCGCTCTCGACCAAGGTTTTCTTTACATTTTGAAACAAATTTAATTTTATCTGAGGCGCAAACTAGTGAAGTTGTTCGAAGGGGTCAACAAATCCAGTAAGAATAGGTAAAATCCTAAACCTGAGAGTAGACTGTTCCAATTGAGCAGGATTGGTTAGACGTTGGAACACATGCGATATGGGCTAACGGAGAGATGAATCTATACCTTTATTCAAATCAATTGTTCGCTCGCAATAAAGAAACATCTAAACCTAAGCCTTATTAAATGTACCTTTACTAGCAAATATATTTCTGTTCACCGAGAACAATTTTTTGACTGAGTTAATGGCCTTACCTGGTCTTGAAACATTTGACTAGGAAGATATCCTAATCTCAGAAAACCTGAAATTACGGGCCAAAATATGGTGACATAAACATTCGGAAAATTTACCACAAATGTTGGGAGATCTACCAGATAAAGCTGAGTGCGAGTACGGCTCTGAGCAAGCAAGTGATCAGTTTGGGGGGATTTCTTCCGACATTGAAGAGAATCCTGTGTAATACAACCTCATTTACAAATGTCCGGACGATACTACAGAGATAATTGTGGAGAGATGATGAAATGTCATACCATCTGAGTTAGTCTCTCATGTTTAATATGTATACCTAGGAAAATTGACTGCCTTGAAATTTCAGGTTAATTGTTTGAATTCAACATAGTACGATCGGATAACTAGCCGTGATAATGTTAAAGATGATCAAGGCACGCTTTGCAACCAAAGGCTTTGAAATTCCCATCAATGGTTATTAAATAACAAGGTTTGACAGACCTCGTATAATAATATAATTTATACAAGTATATAGGAATGAAATGCGAAGCGTGAGTATCTATAAAGCCGCATGAGCTATTGATATGTAAGACATTGGTCGTGTGTCACAACTAGACTGATATTTACACAAAAGTATTTTGAAATCAAGAGATGGTACTGCTAGCTGTAAATTCATGTACCTTTGGGTTCTAGTTGCCAGAACTCTTTGCACATTTCCGAAGGATAGCTGTATCTTCTAATAGTCCTGGTCTTAAATGAAGAAGTTTTTAACATTTCTCTCCTAATAGCGACCCGTCCAAACATACCGTGCGATATTAATTCAAATTCGTACTTAGGATTTCGATGGATAGCAGAGATTGATGGTGTTTATGACAGTGCGGGGCTTGATAATTGTGGACAGGGAAATGACACGTGTATATATATCGCGCACTTGACTCCTCTTTATTATTTATTAATTCATTTTGTCCCTTATGAGTCTATGACTATGTGGGACATGCAGGTCCTCTCTGCCTACAGGCCAAGGATACCTATACCAGTAGTATATCCCCTC